AGAGACATGATGTAGCAAATTTAAAAATGATTCGGATCAAGTGAACATGACTAGAAAATAAAGGAAAACACACATTGTAACCAAATTAAGCAAAGATTTGCATGTTAATACAAATTCAAAATAGAGGGAAATAGGGAAAATAGTGTGCATGTAGCCATAAAAAGGGAAAATGAAAGTGAGATGTTCATGTAACGATAAAGAATAAGGAAACACATTCATCAAAGAAGACTAATTTATATAGACCAAGTTCACTATGGTAAGAGCCTAAAAAATATCCCCAGTAGAGTCGCCATGCTGTCGTGCCCCTTCTTTCTCGCGGAGTCGGGCTTCGACACATGACAACTCTTTTAAAGGAAATGTGTTAAAAGAGAGAGTCACCACCTAAAGGGTTTGAGGTGCGTTAGGGCACCTATTTGCAAGTAACTCTGGTTTAACCAGTTTACGTCACCAAAGATCGGGTAAGGGCTTAAGTTACCTCGAGGAGAAGGTGTTAGGCATTCCTCGAGGTCCACAACTGTGGGTCCCGACCAAACTCAAATTATATGAATTAGTCAAATACTAAGAGAGAAAAACAAGAAGTAAAAAAATCAATATTAGAAGGTCATTGAGTAAACACAGATAATTGGTTTAAAGACAAGATAGAGGGGTCCTACATTTTTTAGCCTAAAGGATCACCCCGTGCAACATAAATAATACTTCGTAACTCCCTCGAGATGGGGTGTTACTCGTATTATTCAGCGGGCACAAACTATCATCTCCTACTACCCGATTACTATCTTTATGTTTTTACCTAAAGCGCACTAGTTGATTCTAAATGGTACCTTATGCGTGCACTACCCGTCCCATACCTATAGTGCAGGAGGTATTTTGACCTCTTTCTTGGGTGGTTCTAGACTTGACTTAGGTTGCTCAAAATGATTAAACTAGGATACATACAAAATAAGTTGGACTTCATGTGAAGGCAATTAAGGGCTCAAGTTAGCCTCCACACTTAGACAACAAATGCACGTAAATAAATTAGGCATTTGACAGTTTCAGAATTGAGATAAGTTAAAGCCATTAAGCCCTATAGACATAGTTTCTATGTGACCTTGGGATTCAAGTGTGCAGGCAGTTTCAGAGCAAGATGCCATTTTAGAATGACTTCTAAATGACTACGCAGTTGCCTACTGATTATAGGTTATAAGAGGTTAAACATATAGGCATGATATCTAGGTGATTTATACAGTAATTAGCAATGATAATTGCAGGAGAATATTCAGAATTGCTTAGTTGGATCCTATAGGCATGCTTTCTAATAGTGACAGTGACACAATGTTGAAAGTTCAACATTAACACTTAAATGAAACGAGCAAGAAAATCAATAATTAAGGTTTGTTTTAGATCCTATAGGCATGATTTCTATAATCAATAATTAAGATCTATAGGTAGGATTTTTAAATGGCACATTAGGTAGCATGTAAATTAACAGAATCCTATAGCGCCTAATGAGTATGCTGTAATGCACATTGAGACATTAGTCATTTAATTTCCTATAGGCATGGTTTCTAGCATGTGGAAGCAAAATGTGTCAAACAAATTAAATACCTATAGGCAGGTTATCTAACACACACAATAGCAGAACATATTTGAGCAAAGTAAAACATATATAGGCAGGATTTCTACCCGTTTCAATGCAGGTATTAAGATAAGCCCCCTTTTTCCAATTTTACTAATACCCCAATTGTTATTATAACATTATTACAGACCAAATGAATGGAATAAATTCCAGAGTAAAATAACTATAGTGAGCCTACAACAGACCAAAGATATACCCAGCCAGGCCAGGCCTTCATTCTCAAGTCCACATAGTTCACAACAGTCTAGAAGTCATATCCTCATTTACATAAGGCAGCCAGAAACCAATTGATTCAGCCAGTAGATAAAAATAAAGTTGAGCAATTAGAACCATGACCCTAGTGTGTCAGAGTTCCCAAGGGCTTCAAGGACCCAGGGTAGTGCTCCCACTAGGGAGGTTGATAGGGGAAATTTAGAGAAAGACTAAAGACCAAATCCTATTGTGTCAGAGTTCACAAGGGTCTCAATTGGACCCCGAGCAGTGCTCACACCAGGGAGGTCAAATGATAGAACCTAAGTAGCCTTGGCTTTCAACCGGCTAAGAATAAGAACTCAAAAGAGACTAGGCAGTAAGTGAAGTAAACCAAGGTTGAGAGACAAAACTAAGGGATACAAACATAGTCAAGTTGCATATTTAGCAGATAGTTGGACAAGTTATAGAGTTTAAGAACAATCTTAGCAAAGATTTAGAAAAAAACAGGTTCAACACTTAGTGCATAAACAGTCCTACATTATCAAAGTCAAGGGAAGAACATGTTTGCAGGATTGATGAAAAGTATCATACATAGTTCATAATATAAAAGAAAAGGTTCAAATTATACTAATTATAAGTCCTAGTGTTATGAAATAGTCACACTAATTTGGTGGCAGAACTACATTTAGACATGATGGGGAAATAAATTACTACAACTACTAGTGAATCAGGGGAGCAAAATCATGCTAAAAGGGATATATTGATAGAGAACTAGTCGTGATTGACAGGATTAAAACATGCTATATAAGCAAGATATAACCACGAAAATTCAGAATAGACTTGTGCCATAGAATAGATGTGAACATTCATGTTTTGAACACAATTGACTAGTCGACTAAAGAGGATACAAATTATGCAAGTAAAGCGTGTTCACACAATAGGATTGATAGCCTAAAGAAAAAATAAAAACCACAGAGATGCTTACAAGTGCAAAGATCCCAAACAGTAGTAACACATTGAGAAGAATTTAATTTACTCGAATCAAGTTTAGGCATGCTTAAAGCTATCAACATTATGAAGTTAAACGATAAGGAGACCTAAAAAATTGGAGTAAAATAAACAGAATTGCACACAAAACAACCCAAAAAACTCATTAAACTAACGAACTTCAGAAGTGAAGGCATATGCAAATTTTAGATACATAGGAACGAAATTACAAAGGTTCAGTAACTCACCAGTTAAACGAAAATACAAGAAAGAACAAAAGTCCATAGTGTTCTGAACATCAATGAGAAGCAAAAGCCCAGAATTTAGTGGCCTTGGCTTTCAGCCGGCCAAGAACCAAAGTATAGAACGTGATAATGAAGAAATAACAAAATAAAGTTTTAAATTTTAGTGAGATTATAACGATTCCAAAAGAGTCTCTTTCTAAAGGGGAATGAGGAGGGTTTTATATAGTGACATAGATTGAACAAGTAAATACGGAAAAGTGTCAATCAAACGCTAGAAAGGAAAGAACATCAAATGCAATCAAAATCAGTAAGGAAAAGAGAGAAATTTCAAAACCCTAATTTTAGGGAAAGTACAAAAAAATCGTCAGAATCTAAAATTAAAAAATCAAACGTTGCACAGAATGAGATGAATATAGACAGAAATATTGCTTAAAATCAAAGAATCGAACCAATTTTTGTTCGATCTAAAGAGATCTGAAACCCTAATTTTTAGGGTAAGTAAGAATCAACATAATATAAATAAATGTTCGAACTCACAGTAGCATAGGATGAACATAGATGGAACAACATTCAAAAAATAGGGATTTGAACCGATTTTGGTTCAATTTTGAGAAGATTTACTCGCCATGTTTAGGCAAGAACTATATGAGAGTAGCCAGTACCAGAAGGGGGTCGAGTATGGTAATAAATGGCCGTATAATCCCATGTCTGGTGGGATTAGGAGAGATTTTAGGGGAGGTGGCACTAGGGTTCTTAGGAGGGAGAAGGGATGTGAGGGGATGCATAGGTGGCGGATGAGGGGGAGTGAGATTAGGGTTAGGGGTTTGGGTAGTTAAAGGGGAGGGTGTAATGTGGGCCGTTGTTCTCAGAGATCAACGACCACGATTTAAAAGAGGTCTTGGGTCGGGTGGTTAAACGGGTCGCGACCGAGTTTAGGGGGTTGGGTTAATTTGGTTTGGACTGGGGTATTTGGGCTAGTGTATTAGGTACTTTGGGCCATTGTTTGGTCCGAAGATAGGTTTAGTATGGGGCTAGTTTTTAAATACCCAACATTTTAGCAAAACATAATTTATAAAAGTAATTAATAAATAACAAAAATATTATTTGTGTACTAAAAGATTAAAAATAATAACTTAACATTATAAAAATATAAAATGTTATATTTTGCATAAATAATATTATTATACATGCATATGGCTATTATTGCAAAATATGTAATTTAGCCTTAAAAATGCAAATGTAGTTATAAGAAATGCACTGNTATATATATATATATATATATATATATATATATATATATATATATATATGTTTAAAATATGAGAGAAAAATTGGGTATCAACAAAGGGTGTTCCGTTCAAGTGGACCGAGGAGTGTGAGGAGAGCTTTCAAAAGCTCAAGTCTGCTTTGATTGCAACCCCTATGTTGGTGTTGCCTTCGGGTTCGGGGTCTTATACTATGTACTATGATGCGTCACATATTGGTCTCGGCGCGGTGTTGACGCAGGACGGTAGGGTGATTGCCTACGCGTCTAAACAGCTGAAGGTGCGTGAGAAGAACTATCATATCCATGACCTTGAGTTTGCAACTATTTTTGATTCCTTGAAGATCTGGCGACACTATTTGTACGGTGTCCCTTGTGAGGTCTATACCGACCACCAGAGTCTACAATATCTGTTCAAACAGAAGGATCTTAACTTGCGGCATCGGAGGTGGTTAGAGTTGCTTAAGGACTATGATATCACCATTCTATATCATCCCGGGAAGGCCAAGGTAGTCGTTGATGCCTTGAGTCACAAGGAGGAGAGCTTGGGCAGTTTAGCATATCTACCGGTAGCAGAGAGGCCATTAGCCTTGGATGTTCCAGCCTTGGCCAACTAGTTTGTTAGATTGGATGCTCTCTGAGCCGAGCTGAGTTTTGCCTTGTGTGGTTTCTTGGTCTTCTCTTTATGATCGTATCAAAGAGCATCAGTATGACAACCCTCATCCGCCTGTCCTCAAGGACACAGTTCAGCACTGCGATGCCAAGAAGGTCACTATTGGAGATGACGATGTATTACAGATTGAGGGCAGGCTATGTGTGTCCAATGTGGATGGTTTGCGTGAATTGATTTTTCAAGAGGCTCACAGTTTGAGGTACTCCATTCATCCGGGTTCCACGAAGATATACAGGACTTGATGCAACACTATTGGTGGAGGCGGATGAAGAAGGACATAGTGAAATATGTAGCTCGGTGCCTAAACGGTCAGCAGGTGAAGTATGAGCACCGGCGGCCAGGTGGATTGCTTCAGAGTCTAGAGATTCCAGAGTGGAAATGGGAGCGAATTACTATGGATTTTGTTGTTGGGCTCCCACAGACTCGGAAAAGGTTAAATTGATTCAAGATCGACTTCGTACAGCCCAAACCAGACAGAAAAGTTATGCGGATCGAAAGGTTTGTGATGTTGTATTCATAGTTGGGGAGTAGGTCTTGCTCCGGATTTCTCCTATGAAGAGTGTTATGAGGTTCGAGACGAAGGTCAAGCTGGGCCCTAAGTATATCGGACCATTTGAGATACTTGAGAGGATTGTAGGGGTGGCTTACAGGTTTGCACTACCACCGAGTCTAGTTGTAGTTCATCGAGTATTCCATGTTTCTATACACTGGAAGTATCACGACGATCCGTCTCATGCGTTGGATTTCAACTCAATCCAGTTGGACAAGGATTTATCTTTTGTTGAAGAGCTGGTGGCCATTTTGGACAGGCAGGTTTGAAATTTGAGGTCGAAGAACATTGCTTTAGTAAAGGTTCAGTAGAGGGGTCAGCTAGTCGAGAAGACGACTTGGGAGACCGAGCATGATATGCGTAGCCGTTAACCTCATCTTTTCACCACTTCAGGTATATCTCTATACTCGTTCGAGGACGAACGTTTGTTTTAAGGGGGGGGGGGATGTAATGATCCGACCGGTCATTTTGAGTATTTTAGCCCCGATCCCTAAATTTATGATTCCTCTATGTTATAATGTGATTTTGTGACTTGCCAATGTATTTGGTTTTGGTTTCGGGTGAGTTTTAGAGTGAAATGGGACACATAGTCCCTAAGTTAGAGGTTTAGGTTGTAAACATTAACCGTAGTTTGACTTGTGTAAAGATGACCCCGGAATAGAGTTTTGACGGTTCCAATAGCTCCGTATGGTAATTTTGGACTTAGGAGCATGTCCAGATATTGATTTGGAGGTCCATAGGTCGTTTCGGGGAGAAATGGCAAAAATTGGAAAATGGGAGATTTTGCAAAGTTTGATCGGGAGTTAACTTTATTGATACCAGGGTCGGATCCCGATTCCGGAAGTTGGAATATGTCCGTAATGTCATTTATGACTTGCGTGTAAAATTTAGAGTCAATCGGAGTTGTTTTGGTATGAATCTCCATTGGTTTCGGAATTTGGAAGTTCATAGGCTTGCATTTGCATTGCAATTCATAGAATTTGTGTTGTTTGATATGATTTGATGCTTTAAGCGTGTTTGTATGATATTTTAGGACTTATTGGTATGCTTGGTTGAGGTCCCGGGGGATTTGGGTGCAATTCGGACCATGTTCGGCGCATGTCGGATCATTGAGGAATGGCTGAAGTTTTGGTTCTTCTCAGTTCTGGTTTCCTCTTATTAGATCGCGAAAAAAGGCCCACGATCGTGAAGCTTTGAGACTGACATGTGTGGATTGGTTCTATGCGATCGCGAGATGGCTTATACGATCGCGAAGCTTGGAAGGTCAGTGCATCGCGCACGCGTAAGTGGTGCCTCGTTCGCAATGGAGGAAGGGGAGGCCTGGGAAGGTGGATGCATTGCTCTATGCGGTCGCGAATGGGTGTACACGATCACATAGCCTTGGAAAGTTTCTCACTGTGTTCGCGACCAGACTTCCGCGTTCGTGTATAAGGTTTTGAGCTGATGGAATTTTTGTTCATCGTGATCGCGAAATGTAAATCATTAAGCAGCAGACTTAAGTTTCAAAATCGAGGGTTTATTCCATATTTCACATTTTGTACTTAGAGAGCTCAGTCTGAGGCGAAATTTCAAGGGATTTTCAGAGAGATCATTGGAATAAGAATTTCTAACTCGATTTTGGTTAAATTACTAGAATCTATTATTGTTTTTATCATGTAATTAGGGATTGGAGTTGGAAAAATTGGGAAAAGTGGTAGAACTTCTTAGACTAAGTTTTTGAGTTTTGAAAGGCGAAATGAGGTCGGATTTGAATAATTCTTGTATGGTTGGACTCGATATCGAGTGGGTGTTTAGATCCTTATAATTTTGGTCGGGTCGGAGATGCGGGGCCGTGTTTGACTTTTGGGTTAACTTTTTAATTCTTCGCAAAGATCGTAATTTTCATTGTTTGAATTAGTTTCCTATAGTTATATTCATAGAATGAAATTGTTTTGGCTAGGTTAGAGCCATTCGGAGTTGGATAATCGAGGGAAAGGCCTTCTAGTTGATTGATTTAGCGTGGTTTGAGGTAAATGGCTTGCCTAACTTTGTGTGGTGGAATTTTCCCGTGGGATTGGTGTTGCTTGTGATAATTGTGATGTGTAAGAGCCGTGTACGCAAGGTGAATAGTGTTTACACGGGCTAAATGTTAAAATTGCCGGTTTTTAGCTATGTAGATTCCTTTCATGCTTTAATTGAGTTACCTTAACATGTTATAGTCATCATATCTAGTCTAATTTCACATGTCTACTTATCTTATCTCTTACTTGCTAATTGCTCTATATGTTTAGTTGAAATTCTTGTTTCCTTATTCCGTATTCATTATTTAACTGTTGAATTCTTACTTGAAATTGCTATTTTTGGAATATCTTGTTGTTGAAATTGGTATTGAGTTGCAAAGGTCGTGATTCCTATTGAGGCAAAGTGTTAAGTTGTGAAATATCATTCTATTGAGTTATTCTTCCGGTTATTATTGTTGAGACTTTGTGTATATTGTGGTTGAGCCGTGGGCTCCTTATTGTGAAATTCTGTTATTGTTTGGTTTCTCTAGCAAATTGTGATATTGGGCACTTGAGGTGCGATTTGTGATACCTTGTGATATTGATACGCATGCGGTGGTATAAGGTATGGGTGTTGAAATGCATGCGGTGAGATAAGGTGGGCTTGATACTCGTGGCTAGTAGGGGAACTACTAGAAGCCATTTGGTGTGATAAGTAGGGCTAAAACGCGGGATGCTATTTTGGGAAAAATAATTTTCAAAACTAAATATAAAGGCTCTCGTAGTAATATAAGAAAATATTGTGATTTATTTTAGTGATTTGAGACTATGAGGCGGTACCTCGGTAGTGACTCTTGTTGACATTTCCCCATCCTTTGTACTTGTCTTTGATCATTGTTTCCTTAGCATACTATTAATTGTCTTTCTCCGTGTTGCATTATTTTCTTAGTTCTGTGTAGCTAATCTTGTTATACTATTTGTTGTTTCAGTTTCATTACTGTCTTTATTACACAACCTACATTTTTTCAGTCTTTTATTATTTCTAGTAGGGCCCTAATTTGACCTCGTCACTACTCTACCGAGGTTAGGCTTGGCACTTACTGGGTACCGTTGTGCTGTACTCATGCTACTCTTTTGCACATCCTTTTGTGCAGATTGAGGTACTTCTTACCAGCCCAGGCATTAGTTTGGATTCTACTGCGGAGACTTCAAGGTATACCTACCGGCGTCCGCAGGCCTCAGAGTCCCTCTCTCTCTAGATCTCTTATTTCATTATCCTTTATATATAGACATGATGTAATTCATACTTAGAGCTTGTGACTTGTATTAAGCCAGGTCTCGGGATTTGTATATGTTGAATTAATGTAACGTTCTTTTTATACAGCTGTTGAGTTTGAGACTTATATCTATTATTATTTTAATTATTCTGCATGTTATTAGGCTTACCTAGTCTTAGAGACTAGGTGCCATCACGACGTCCTATGGAGGGAGATTGGGGTCGTGACAATCAATCTATATTATTATAAAAGCACGAATATTAAAAGATTAAATATTGAAGGACAAAAATATCCACTAAAAGTTGATTGGCTTTTTTGCCCTTTAATGTTAATTTTCTTCCATATGGAAACTTAATAATGGGTATAAATGTAATTTTATATCAGGACTAAAACAAAACATTTTTCTATTAGGACTAAATTTCTCTTGTTTTAACCAAAACTCCGAGAAGCTTTTAATTACAAAACAAGAGGAGTCATTGTTCTATCATAAAATATGTTTATTTCTTTGTTTTCCTGATGGAATCAAATTAAATATCCGTACCAACCTCTTTTAAGAGAAAAAAATCAAACTATTGATAATGGCTGTGGATATAAGTTTTGGATAAATACCACGTGGCCTTGAGGTGATGCTTATATTTTCCTTCTAATTTTTCTTAGTGATTTAGAATAATACAAATAATCAAATAAGAGTATTTATTCATTACTTAGAAAGTCATTAAACTATAGAAAATCAGTGATTAAAGTTGTTACGACCCGAATTTCCCACCTTCAGGATCGTGATGGCGCCTAACATTTCACTTTCTAGGCAAGCCAACGTTAGAATAATATAATCCATTTTAAAATAATTTTTAAATTTATTAATAACAAAGAAACAAATGCGGAAGTAAAGTCTGAAATGTATTGAATAATCCATAAAAATAATGGAGTCTAAATACCATTCCCGAATTGGTGTCACAAGTGCATAAGCTTCTAGAATAATACAAATAAAGGTTTGAATAAAATAAAGCTGTCTGAAAATAAACACACAACAAAAGTAAAATAGATGGGGACTTCAGAGCTGCGGACGCCGTGCAGCTATACCTCAAGTCTCCTCTGGTAGCTAAAATTCGAGCAAGTCTATGGTACGCCGCTGGGACCAACTCCGAAATCTGCACAAGAAGTGCAGAATATAGTATCAGTACAACCGACCCCATGTACTGGTAAATGCTAAGCCTAACCTCGACGAAGTAGTGACGAGGCTAAGGCATGTCACTTACATTAACCTGTACGCAATATTAGTAACAACAACAAATAATAAAAATAAATCAAGTAACTCATTTATAATAATTGAAGCCAACTCAACAGTCGTAACCAATTGTTAATTCAACCAATTTTCATTGCAGCGTGCAAACCGCTCCCACAATATATTCATTTTCAATCCTCCAATATATTTATTTTAATCAAATATATATGTAGACTTTTAAATAAGTCTGTTGCGGCGTGCAATCCGATCCCCCAATATATATACTTTCATTTACGTTGCGGCATGCAACCTGTTCCCCAATATAACTTTAAATAACTCATAAATGTAATAAACATTACTCCAATAAATACCACGTCCAATGAAAAACTATTAAGCATCGAGGCGCGCAATAATTATAATTTATTTATAAACAAACAATGGCAATTAGCAATTAATTGTGAAAATCGTGGAGAAAATAGACAGTTAATATTTAGTATGCTAAATGTCAAATAACAATTAAGACACATAAATCAAATAACATGTAACAATTATTGCAGGAATTCAAGAATTAATATTTGACAAAGAATAGGAGAGAAATAATTATTATAATAATTAATTCATGATTTAAAACGATTTATGATTGTCAAGTAATTATTCAAACAATTAATTTGACGACGTATAGATACTCGTCAACTCGCCTATACGTTGTTCACATACATTTTACATAACAAATAATTTAAGGGTTCTATTCCCTCAAGTCAAGGTTAACCACGACACTTACCTCGCTTTGCAATTTCAATCAATTACTCGACCACAACTTTTCCTTTTAAATTTGACTCCAAAAGCTTCAAATCTATTCACAAACAATTCGATATACTCAATACAAATCGTAGGAATTAATTTCATATGAATATACTAAGTTTCCGGATAAAATCCGAAATTCACTTTAAAAATTAACAGTGGGGCCCACGTCTCAAATCTCGGAAAAATTTACGAAATCCGAACATCTATTCCGAGACGAATCCAACCATATAAAAATTATCAAATTTCGATGTCAAATGGACCTTCAAATCTTAAATTTTCGTTTTTGGAAGATTTTATAAAAATCTGATTTTTCTCCAAAAAATTTCCTGATTCATGATATAAATGAGTATGGAATCATGAAATATAATCAATATAGGATAAGGAACACTTACCCTAATATTTTTCCGTGAAAATCGCCCAAGAATCGCCTTACCCAAGCTCAAAAATAAAAAATGGGACGAATCCCATTTTCCAGAACTTAAGTTCTGTTTTCTCGAATTTTTACTCATCGCGATCGCGAAAATTCGTTCGCGATCGCGTAGAACAACTTTTGCCCAGATCCGTTTTACTCTTCGCGATCGCGGATAATTGTTTGCGATCACGAAGCACATTTTGGCTGCCCATTTTATTATCTCTACGCGATCGCGTAAATGGACATGCGATCGCAGAGAACATTTTCTCCGCCTTACGCGATCGCGTACATGCTGTTACGCGGCGCCTTCCTGAAGTTCCTTGGAAGGGTTACGTAAGGCTAGGCAACCGATGTCAGTATGGTTGCTGTCCGCCAACTGAAGTCCCCTCCGTACGCTAGACTAGATTGTCAGTGCTGTACGGGAAAACCAATGTCATGAGCAATTGAAAGAGAGCAGAAAAGAGAATTGAGAATGAAAGAAAGCTTGATTGCATTGAATGAAAGCTATTACAGAAAACAAAACAGTGTCGGGGGGGAGAGACACCAGTACAGAGAATTGTTTGCTTGCTTGAAAGTTTTGATTGCTTGGTCCCCCTTAATAATGCTTAAAAAAAATAAACCAAAGTTACATGACTAGACCTATGAAAGCTGGAAAATCACACTTAAAGAAAATGCAGCAAAACTACTCTATATTTACAATGAAAAGGACTTAGTCTTCTACAAAGCAGCAGCAAGTCCGTTGGCAGCAACTTTGTCTTTAGCATCAGGGTCTGCGCGCGCGG